TGACGGGGGGCTGGTGGGAGCAGGGGGGGGGGCTTGTTGCATGTGCCTGCCTCCTGGGCTCTTTACTGCCGGAGCTCCGCTCCTGTGCACACCTGCAGGAAATGACCCCTTCCTATTCCAAATCCTACTGAAGTCTATTCGATGGGCCTGACTCCTAGGAAAGTTTTCTTAGGATCGCACTCTTAGACACTGAGAATTCCAGCAAGTTGCTAGCCCAAAACAGGGAGAGAGCACAGTGTTGCCAGGTTCCCAGTGGGGGTGGGAGATCTCCCGCCCCCAGCTCCCGTTTGCCTGCTGACGCTCAGCTAGACGGCAGGAGAAAATGTCCAGTGAAAGGGTGGACACAATCCGCATCCATGACATGATAACATTGCTCCCTGGTCCATGATGACTCCAGATATGTAATGAAAATGGCTAAATACCTGACTTATCTGGATATTGGATTTATACCCCACCCTTCACTACCCAAGGGAGTCTCAGAGCGGCTTACAAACCCCTTTCCTTTTCCCTCCCCACAACAGGCACCCTGTGAGGGAGGTGGGGCTGAGAGAGCTCTGACAGAAACGGCTCTTTTTCAAGGACAGCTGTTATCAAAACTATGGCTTGCCCAAGGTCATCCAGCCAGGCGCAAGTGGAGGAGTGGGGAATCAAACCCGGTTCTCCCAGATTAGAGTCCGCACACTTAACCACTACACCAAACTGGCTCTCTATAGAAGAGCTCTTACCCTGGCTCGTTGTGCGGCTATTCCCTCTAAGGTTTTAGAAGGAAAATATAGAAAGATACCATATGAAGACAGGTGCTGCCCTGGCTCTGTGGGAGAAGTGGAATCGATGTTCCACATGTTCTTTCGCTGTCCTTTTCATCAGGTTTATAAGGATAAGCTTATCACCCCCCTCTTGGATAGACCAGCACTTGATGCAGATGGTGCCGATCTAGAGAGACTTTTGATAGAGGAAAATCAGCAGATCTCCAGACAAATAGCAAAATTCTGCTGGCAACGGGTATAATCTCGCAATAAGAAGCAGGTCAAGTAGAATCCTCATTTACCTTTTGCCTGACTCATAAGTAGTTTCGTTTTAAACATCTCATAATTATTTTGATACAATGGACTGTTAAACTTTTCTCCTTTTAATATTTTAATGATTTTAAGGTTATATGTTTATTTTTAGAGCTGAAAGCTAATTTGCTTGTATTTAACGAATATGTATTATTTTGATAAATGGTCTTTGACCGCAAATAAAGATCATTCATTCATTCATTCATAACATTGCTCCCAGAGCAATGTGGAACTGAAGTCCTCACACTGGGTGACCATAGAGTTTGGGGTGAGTGCTGGACCGTGACCCCGCATATGATGGTATTAGGTAAAAGGTAAAGGTTCCCTTGCTCGAAAGCCAGTCGAATCCGACTCTAGGGTTGCGGTGCTCATCTCCGTTTTGAAGCCGAAGAGCCAGCGCTGTCCGAAGATGTTTCCGTGGTCATGTGGCCGGCATGACTAAACACCAAGGCGCACAGAACGCTGTTACATTCCCACTGAAGTGGTACCTCTATTTATCTACTTGCAATTTCTTGCTTTCGAACTGCTAGGTTGGCAGGAGCGGGAACTAGAGACGGGAGTTCACTCCGTCATGCGGCACCCGGGTCTCGAACTGCTGAACTACCGACCTTCCACAGCCTGCAGTTCAGCGTCTTAACCACTTGAGCCACCGCAGCTCCAATGATGGTGTTACTTTGTGCCAAAAGCAACATCATTGTGGCAGGGATGCCAGCTGCCACCACGGAAATCTCTGTTGCTCCCAGGGCAGCCCATGAAGCTGCCTTGCAGTAGCCCTTTCTGCTCCCGTATTTTGCCTCGGTTTCTGAATGCATCTGATTCTTCCGTTCCGCATTTCCTCTCGCTTCCACTTCCACTTTGTTTCGGGGCTTTCTCTTGTCTCCGCCTTTGTTCGACAGGGATCTGCATTCAGACCGCTTCCAGCACACTGTTGCCCCGCAGCTCCCAAAACTCCTTTTGCAGAGATTCTTTGCTCTCATCTGCTTTCAAATTGTTCATCCTTGCTAAAGTAGAATTGTTTCTGCGGGTATTGAAGTGCTGCCCACTGCACTCCCCCGTTTCCACCCCTCTCTCTCTCTCTTTAGGTTGACGCTCCCTCCCCATTCTGTTCTCTTTCCC